ACCCAGGGCAGCCTCCTCTGTTCCCTTCTCCAACCCATCCTGCTGAACTGGGACTGCAGAGGAAACTCCTTTACCCTCGTGTTAATCCCAGAGCCCAAGGGCTTTTCTTCCCCCTCATTTTACAACCTTATTGCCTGTCTGTGACCTGTGGGCACATTCTAGAGACTCCGGTCTGTGCCTTGAGATGAATACAGCCCTCCAGGGCCAGACAAGGTTTGTGAAGTGGCGGGGTTGTCTTCTTCTCCCTCTACGTACTCCTCCTGTTGGGGGAGCTGAGGGAGCAGAAGCATCATGACTGAACAGCAGAGTACTATGGGGTTCTTGTGACCAGAGGAAGGGCAGTAAAGGCACAGGACTGAGAAACTGCATGAGGCCACACATGTTCCCAGGCAAACCCCAGGCAAATTTGAAGGGCAGCACACAGCCCTGCCCAGCTGTGTGTTCCACAGAGAGCACAAGTCCTTCTCAAGGAGAGTGGGCTCCAGCTGCTCCCATGAAGTATCTATCTTCAGGCAGGACTTCACAGTACTCGGGATGACCGCATACTTGTTATGTAGCCCAGGTTAGCCTTGAAACTCATCACTGTGGAGCTTTTTATTTCTTTTGAAATACTGTGTTCGGTAATTTCTCATCCTTCACTGAACTCCATGTGCAGAATCACTGAGAAGGAAGAAAAGGTGCTGTCCCTTCCACTGGGGTCATCGTGTAGGGTTCTGCCTTGTCAGGTGACTCCCCAACACTGCTTAAATGGGGCTGAGGGCTTCAGCCCGGTGGGTGAGCTGAGCTCAAGGCTTGTGCTCCTTTCCCTGCAGTCCCTGAGCAGACATCTTGACATGGACACAAACTGGGTGTTTGTCATGCTCTTGCCAAAACAGTCCAGGGTCCCCGACATGTTCGTCTTCTCTCAAAGGTGCGGCTGATGCAGGAGTCTGTCCGGAGAATAATCGAAGCAGAAGAGTCCAGAATGGGTGAGAAGGCACCCCCTCTGTGGGCTGGGCACTGGGGTCTGGCAGGACAGCCTGTGTCACCCCTGCCGCTCTGTCTGCAGGGCTCATCATCGTGAATGCCTGGTATGGGAAGTTCGTCAACGACAAGAGCAGGAAGAATGAGAGGGTGAAGGTGATTGACGTGACCGTGCCGTTGCAGTGCCTGGTGAAGGACTCCAAGCTCATCCTCACCGAGGCCTCCAAGGTACGTGACCAGTCAGTCACCAAGGCCACCTGCTCCCAGACTGGGGTGCAACTCCATGTGACAGGACGGTCAGGCCTGCAGTGACCATTTCCCCACAGTCCGGAGAGCTTCTGTGCTGGAACCACTTCTGCTCCCGTGGGCCCTAAAATTCACCCGAAATGACCACTGAGTAGCCCACACCTGCCTTCCTGGCACTTGCATTCCATTTACCTGTAAGTTCCAGAAGAGGTGTGGACTCAGCTGGCCGTGGCTTCAGACTGGACGGGAGAGAAGGGGCTTGATGGCCAGTCTATCACTGCCTAAGTAAACAACTCCCATCTCATCAAGCTTCATCAAGCTCCTCATCCATGTTGTGCCCAGTTGGCGGCAGAAAGGAGCGGAGCAGAGCAGGCCTTGAGGGCGACCCTCTGTTTGTTGCAGGCTGGGCTGCCAGGGTTCTATGACCCGTGTGTTGGGGAGGAGAAGAGCCTGCGAGTGCTGTACCAGTTCCGAGGCGTGCTGCACCAGGTGATGGTGCCTGACAGTGAGGCCCTGAGGATACCAAAGCAGTGTGAGTAGTGCCCTCGGTGTCGACAGCTGAGTTGTGAGGAGGTTAGAGCACGCTCTTGGCCAGGTGTGATACTCAAGCACCCAAGAAGCTGAGCTAGTAGGATCATGGATTCCAAGTCATCCTGGACTACCCAGTGAAGCTCAACTCAAAAACTCAAAAATAACCTAGCCGAAAGGTGGTGGTAGCAAATGCCTTTGATCCCAGCATTCAGGAGGCAGAGGCAGGCAGATCTCTGTGAGTTCGAGACCAGCCTGCTCTACAAGAGCTAGTTCCAGGACAGGCTCCAAAGCTACAGAGAAACCCTGTCTTGAAAAACAACAGGAACAAAGAAAAAAAAAAGACCCTAGCACTCAGGAGGCAGCGGCCAGCCTGCTCTACAGAGGAAATTCCAGAACAGCCAGAGCCAGGGCTGTTAGCAGGAAGCAAAAAGTCTATTAGAGAGATGGCTCATCAGTTCAGAGCATTTCTTGTTCTTGCAGAGGACCCAGGTTCAGTTCCCAGCACCCACACGGTGGCTCACAACCATCTGTGACTGGTTTCAGGGGATCTGACACCCTCTTCTACCCATGGGCACCAAGCATACATGTGGTTCATTCATACATTCAGGCAGAACAGTCACACAGAACTTTTAGATGGGGTAAGATGGGGTAGGATGACCATTCTTGCCACAGCTGTGAATGGCTGCGTGGAAGTGACCCTTCGCCCTGGGTGCAGAAGCGGGTGCTTCAGGTTGAGGGTGGTGGAACTCAGGAGGCAGGGGTCTGAAATCTAGGCCAACCGTGGACTACATAGAAAAGCCCTGCCTCAGAACACAGGAAATGCAGCCGTTCCCGGCCCGGCCTTGTGCAGGAGGTAGAGGAAGCCACCTGTCCTCTGCTGCCCTGACTTGTGCAGGAGGTAGAGGAAGCCCACCTGTCCTCTGCTGCCCTGACTGACTTGTGCAGGAGGTAGAGGAAGCCACCTGTCCTCTGCTGCCCTGACTGACTTGTGCAGGAGGTAGAGGAAGCCCACCTGTCCTCTGCTGCCCTGACTTGTGCAGGAGGTAGAGGAAGCCACCTGTCCTCTGCTGCCCTGACTTGTGCAGGAGGTAGAGGAAGCCCACCTGTCCTCTGCTGCCCTGACTGACTTGTGCAGGAGGTAGAGGAAGCCACCTGTCCTCTGCTGCCCTGACTGACTTGTGCAGGAGGTAGAGGAAGCCCACCTGTCCTCTGCTGCCCTGACTGACTTGTGCAGGAGGTAGAGGAAGCCCACCTGTCCTCTGCTGCCCTGACTGACTTGTGCTTTCCTTTCCAGCTCACAGGATCGACACAGACGGATAAACTACTGGGAACCCTGAGTAAAAAGGCTACAAAATACTTTCCGGGGAGTCTACAACTTTGGAGCAGGGAAACCCAGACATGAGATGTTTTTTGTTTATCCCTCAAGAAGGTGGCGCTGTATCAATTATGTGTTGGGACATGCAGACAGCCTAGCCTCGTGGGTGCTGTGGGTGAGGACTGCAGAGCCCCACCCTGGCCAGACCACAGCATGGCCACATCTTTCCCAAGGATCATGTTCCTGGAGGACAGTGCCTGAACCGACTCTTGAGGTCACCCCCGCCCGGTCCTCATGAGTGGCCGTGCACAGCCGCTCTCGGGAGGCATTTGGGACATCCTCACACATGGACTGTTCTTCCTGAAGTCCACGCTGCACCTGGGAAACATGAAAAGGAAGGTGTGTCGCGTGCTGCTCAGTAGACTCCCACAAGCCACCTTTCTCTTCTAGAACATTATACAGTGGACTGGAGAGGACTGTGGGTTTATAAAACTGCTTTTTATCCGAGAACAACAGGTTTGGAGACTAGTCTCTTTCTTCCCCTTCCAGAGCTTCTCAAATCATTCCTCCAGGCCCTGGCTTGGGACAGAGAGGGGAGACCCCAGGTCCCAGGGTACACTGTCCAGGCATACTGCCCACAGTGCTAAAGAAAGATCCTGCTGCCAGTGGCCCCTGCACCCCACCCACAAGACATCTGCCTTGCAAAGCTCTATAGGGCGGCGCTGGAAGGAGGGGACCTTTGCAGGTAGTGGGGGCACAAGTTTGCCAATTCCTGGGTGGGCCCAAGGCTGGCCCAGGTACCTGAACCTCTAGTGAGCGCCCAGCAGGCAGTGCTGTTGCTTACCAGGCCAGGCTCTCACAAGGTTCCTCCTAAGGAGCCTCAGTTCCCAGACCCCTTCTAGTGCATTGCACACTTGGTGGCTGTCATTGCAAGCTCTACCCTCTGAGCAGGTGTGACAGCGGCGGTGACTCTGACTCTGGTCCCCCAGCAGTAACTGCTGAAGGCAGACACTGCCTTACTATCCTCACAACCCTTCGGTTTTTAAGAACATTCAGTTCTGTAATATTTATCTCCGTTTTTTGGTTGTTGTTTTTTTTTTTTTAAGAGGCTTTTTCTTTGCCCCAGACTGGTGTGCGGTTTGCACTATTGCATGAGCCCGACTCAGTGGCCTGTGGCTCCCTGGGCACCGCTGCCCCTTCTGTGTGAAGCTGACTGTGGCGGCACTGCCCAACAATAAACCTGACCTGAAAGCTGAAGCCACTCTGTCCATCGGTGCGTGTATGTTTAGGAAGGGGTAGGAGACAGCTACAATGCCCTAGGCCTCTCCCACCCCTGCTGCTTCAGCTTAGACCATTGGCTTCCATTCCACACTCAGCTTTACCTGAGACATAGAACCTCAAAATAAGGAAATTAGACATAAGATTTTGTGTTTGCATTTTAATCATGGTCTGGCTGTGTGGTCCAGGCTGGCCCAAAACTCCTAATTCTCCTGCCTCAGCCCCGATTGCTGAAACTACAGGTGTGCGCCTCTACTCAGACATTTAACATTTTCACTTTTTCAAACAGTCTTCGTGTCTAGATAGTCTGTTCTTGGTTGTGAGTCTGGCCTTTAACAGCTGGGCTCCCTCTCCAGCCCGTGTGTGGGTATTTTGCCTGCATGTGTGCACCAGGTATTTACCGGGTGCCCCCAGATCAGAAGGGGGCAAAAAAAAGAAACAAAAACCACCTAGAATTGGAGTTGGATGGTGGTAAGCCGTCGTGTGGGTGCCAGGAGCTGGACCTGGAGCCTCTGAACTAGCAGCCAGTGCTCTTAACCAGGGGAGAAGATGTTTCTGCAGCCCCTCCCCACGTGCACTTATTTATCTGTTTAGTTATTGTCAATCAGTCCTGTGGCCGCGGTAGTCACTCCTGTATCAGGAAAAAGTGAAAGCAGCAGGCCTTAAATAGAGTTCAAAGAATTTATTCCACATTTACACAGACCAGGCCAGAAAGAGTCGTCAAAAATACAGGCTGGTGCGGGAGACCCTTGCCCTGCCCTCAGAACTCCTCCTCTGGGAAGGTGAGAACGACCCCACAGACTAGCCGTGTTCCTGGAGGTGGACTGCAGGAATGGCCACCTCTCCCTCGGGGAGCTATCTCTGGCAGGGCTGTGACAACTCCTAACATTTGGTCACTGTTACAAGACAGGCCCACAGCTGCCATCCTCAGCCCAGGAGACCCGAGATTGTGCCTCTGGTTCCCCAGCACTTGGGCCCTCCCCTGACGAGGGCATCCTATCTAGCCAGTCTCAAGGTGCCTTGCAGCACCAGTAGTAGGAATGTGCACACTTCCTCACATCCCAGAGCCTCCTCGGGCTCAGTTCTGCTGTGCTGGCCGTCTGACCCGTGGTCCCCGCTGTCCCTCTCTGTAGGCTCGCAGGCGGCTACACGTCCTCCGAAGCAGCAGCCTCTGGGCCCTCAGTCGTTTCCGGAGCCTCTTGTTTTCCTTCAGCGTGAGGAAGAGTTTCTTTTTCAGGGTATCCAAGTCCAAAAGGGCATAGCTGTGATCCGACGGCTGTCCCTGGAAGGGCCGTTCTAACCCCATGGGGCCGGCTGGCAGGCCAGAAGCCTCCATTGCTTCTGTTCTCTCTGGTAAGACCTGAGGACAGAGGTCAGAAGTAAGAGCTGTCCAGGTGTGGCCCTGTGTCCCCAGCAGGAAGGCTTCTGAGCTGGGGTCACAATGCCCCCTACCCTTCTGGTCTAGCTCCAGCCCCATTTCCCCCACTTCCCCTTGTGAAATCCCGACGGTGGTCTTAGGAGAAGCTCTGGTCCTGTCATCTGTTGGGTCCTCTGGGGCATTTCTGAGACCAGCTTGTACCCAGGGTCTTACCTGTTTCACAGGGCCTTCAGTGTCTGGAGGCTGAAACTCTTCCAGTGTGCCGTCCCCACCAGCCCCCACCTCAGGACAGACCTGGATACAGCAGGCAGGCGGAGTCAGGCTGGCTGAGCTGGCAGACACCGGATCCTCAGGCAGCTGCCACTGTCCATCCCTGAGTAATCCCTGCCCGGAGGCTGCAGCCAAGTCCTGCGCATCTGCAGTAAGAGCCTGTCTCCCACCAACTCCCCGGGCTCTAGCCTCTGACCCACTGAGCCTGAGGCCACAGCTTCCTCTGGGAAAGCAAGCATCCTGAACTCAAACCTGACACTCTGCTTTTCTCCAGATACTCTCTCAGCGCTCACTAAACTCAGTGCTGAGTGCACTGCCTGACTGCCCTCCACTGCAACCCTCACAAGAGGCGGCATCTCTCCCTCACCAGCTCTAAGACACAGCCGTGGCTCAGGCAGGACACAGTGGGACCTAACCGAGGCCAGACAGAGGCCTGGTACAGCCACGTCCCCCTGCTCAGCCTGAATCCAGCTGTGCTGACTCTTGCCTGCACTAGGTGTACTCCCCAAATCCTGGGTCAGTGGCACCTGAACAGGTCCCCACAGCTCCAAGGACCTGACTCCTCTGGGTGAACACTGGCCCTACAGTACCCTGTCATCAAAAGGTCATGCAGCTGCTGGCAGCGCACACAGTGGCCATCTGCAGCTTCTTGCCACCAGCTTAGCCTGGGGGCACCGAGGACTGTGAAGTGGACCTGCTCAGATTTCTTCCAGCTTCTGGCCACTGGCCCTGGCTTCCCACCTAAGAGCTGTAACCTCCACCCTATAAACACGGCCTAAAACTTCAGGCTGGAGTTTGTGGCAATCCTCTGGCTTCCACCTCCTAAGTGCTGAGATTACAGGCATGTGCCATCGTACCTGGGTTTCTTATTTATTGTGAGATAGGCTCTCATGTACCTCAGACTGGCCTCAAACCCCAAGGATGACTGACTTCTGATCCTCCTGCTTCCACCTCTGGAATGGCAGGATTGCACACATGCACAGCCACAGCCTAGACTGCAGCGCTGGGGATCTAGATCTAGCCCAGGGCTCCGTGCATGCTAGGCAAGCACCTCTACCAAGGGAACAGCAGCCCCAGGCCCCAGCAAGCACAAATTAGTGCTAAAAGTGTTTGAAATTACTTTTCTTCTCTCTGGGGGGTGGGACAGGGTCTCATGTACCCCAGGCTGGCCTTACCCTCTCACCTCTGGCTCCAAATTATGGGATTACAGGCCTGCACCATAGTTTATGCAATGCAAAGGCTCGAACCCAAGGCCGCTTCCATCCTGGGCCAGTACTCTTACCAGCTGAGCTACACCCCAGCCCCAGCTTCTTTTTAAGCTCCCCATTCAGCACACAGTCCCACTGGCTGGACGTCAGACCAGCACCTTACCTGTGCGGGGTTCTGAAAAGCAAACACGGTGGGCACGGCATTGTGTTTGAGGTTCTTGCGGTTCCCGAAGGCGCTGAAGCACTCAGGTCTGAAGTGCTCAGAACAGATGACCGTGTGTTGCTTGGGCTTGAAGTTGACCCGGCCGATGTTGAGCACCCACTCCTTCAGGAGCTCCGGGCGGCTGAACGGGAACCTATGGGCACAGCATTCCATGATCCAGCCTTAGGAACTCAGTAGTCCACTTTGTTTACCCTAAAATCCGGACACTCGCCAAGGCTGTTATCAGCACATATATGAAACCCAGGATCACGAGCATGGCAAGAGCTCAAGAGAGCTGTATTTCCAAAGCATGTGCCAGCAACTCTCCTTCCTTCACGAGTTCACTGCTGGGGCTTCAGAGATGGCTCAGTGATTAGGAGCACTGAATGCTCTTCCGGAGGACCCCGGGGTTCAAGTCCCAGCAGCCGCATGGCAGCTCACAACTCTCTGTAACTCCAGTTTCAGGAAATCCACCCTCACAGACATGTGCAGGCAAGACACCAATGCACATAAAAGAAAATTTAAAAAAAAAAAAAGTTCACCTCTGACCATGTCTCAATTTCCTGCCAAAACGTGGCAGTGGATAGGACCGAGTCCCTGCCCTTCAGGAGCCTACGTGGCGGACAGCAGCAAAGCAAGCTGAGGTGGACTGTGAGGGCTGCAGCAGCTGACCACAGGAGGTGGCCCTGTGGTCCTTAGCAAGGTGACACCCGAACAGACCCTGCAGCAAGTGGCCTTCACAAAGGACCATGTGACACGAGGCTTTAGATAGGTGTGAGTCTCTGTAGGTTCCAGAGAAGGGAAGGAAAGGCAGCATGTGTCCACCCAGGCTACAGTGAGAACCAGGGCCGAGCAGGAGAAAGTGCTGGAGACGGGGGAACATGCTATGAAAGCAAGACAGTGCTAAGTTAGCGACTCAAGTCTGGGAAGGCTGAGGCAGGAGGACTACTTTGAATTCAAGGACAGCCTGGAGTACCAGAATGACACCTTCTGTCAAAAATAGAACAACTGGCCGGGCGGTGGTGGCGCACGCCTTTAATCCCAGCACTTGGGAGGCAGAGGCAGGCGGATCTTTGTGAGTTCGAGACCAGCCTGGTCTACAAGAGCTAGTTCCAGGACAGGCTCCAAAACCACAGAGAAACCCTGTCTCGAAAAACTAAAAAAAAAAAAAAAAAAATAGAACAACTGCTGGGCGGTAGTGGCGCGAGACTTTAATTCCAGCACTCGGGAGGCAGAGGCAGGTGAGCTCCAAACCAACCTCATCACTTAGCAAGTTCCAGGCCAGTCAAGGACTTTCAAGGTTTGCCTGTGGATCATGAAGCAATGGGAAGGAACTTCGTGTTTGCCATGGAGGACAGGAGGTTTGGGTGAACACAAGTTTGGAATGTTAGGTGTTCAAGGTGCTCTTCGACTGCCCAAGAACAGGCGTGGCAGATGGGCACATGTGCCCGGGGATGTCCCTGCAGAACCTGCCAGCACTCTGGTTCCATGTTGAACACGGCAGCACTCAGTGTGGGAAGTGGGAGGATTCAGCCGAGGAGACTGACAAGGGCGATCTGGGACAGAGGTCAGATGTGTCCTAGGACTCTGGGGGAAAGACCAGTGTGGTCACAAGCTAGTGAGAAGTCAGGTAAGACAAAGGCAAAGCCCAAGCAAGAACTGACGTGGCAGTGCAGGCCTGGAATTCCAGCAGGAAGATCCAGCTTAAAACCAGCCTGGGCGACACAAGACCTCTGCTCTCTCAGAAAAGTAGGAGCAACACCGCCTGAGAGAAAGGTCACACGGGTTAGTAATGAAAGCATGGAACGCACACAGAAGGAAAAAGTCATTAGGAGCCTACCAGTCTATGTGATAACTGTGTTAATAAAAACATTCTAGGCCGGCAGTGGTGGTGCGCACCTTTAATCCCAGCCCTCCGGAGGCAGAGGCAGGCGGATCTCTGCGAGTTCAAGGCCAGCCAGGTCTACAGAGCTAGTTCCAGGGCAGGCGACAGGCTCTAAAACTACAAAGAAACCCTGTTTTGGGGGAAAAAAAAAAAATTAGAGCCAGCAAGATGATTCAGCCGGTGAAGGCACTGGCTGCCAAGTGATGACCTGAGTTTGGTCCCCATGATTTCCATGGTGGGCGAATGAAACCAACTCTAGAAGCTGTCCTATGACTTCCACTCCTGCACTGTGGCATCTGTGCCCACACATAAATAAATAAAACAAAAATTTAAAAACAAAAGGTGGGGGTTAGCGATATGGCTTAGAGCACCAGCTCTTAACTTCAGAGGACCTGGGGTTCAATTCCCAGCACCCACGTGACAGCTTATAACCGCCTGTAACTCCATTTCCAGGGGATTGGACACCTTCACACAGACATACATACATGCAGGCAAAACATGAATGCATATGAAATAAAAATTATTTACGAAAAAAGAAGAAAAAGGCGAGGGTGAATGGAGGTGACTGTCCCTGAGTACACGGCAACATGACCAGGAGACAGAGGTCCCTGGATAACTGCCCATGCAGGCACCAAGAGGCCCTTCATTTGCAGAGCACAATTCTGACACATGTTCAGTGGAGTACTATGCAGAAAAGAACTCAAGTGCAGTGCGCATGCGGGGCAAGGATGACTCTGGCAACAGTGGAAAGAGGGGGGGAGGGAGGGAGGGAGGAAAGGAGAGGGGAGAGGAGAGAGAGAGGCTCAAACCTGGCTCTCCCTGTGGGCAGGTGAGAAGAGACTGGAAGTGGGTGCCAGTGGAGAGTCGTCTGTGGGCTGCCAACTGATGTGTGCATTTTTCCGTGGTAGAAGCATTGAAACAGTGTACTGAGGCCCCGCGGGGGGTGGGGAGCACCCGATGCGGCGCAGGCTGCCAGGCCTCGGTGAACTGCGCCGGAGGCACAGACACTGCTCGAAGCTGGCGCCTTGAAGGGCGCTTCCCTGGAAAGGGCTCCGCACGAGCTGGGCTGAGGGAAGGAGTCCTGGGACTACAGGGCTGAGTACCCACCACCTTCCCACGACTAAAGCCCCTGCGGCCTGGCCATCCTGGAGGGCGCTCATTCCTCCAGACCATGTACCTCCGCCTGGGCCTCCCTCGAGGTGACGCAGGCAGTAAGAGGCCAGTGTAGGGACACAGCCAGACGCCACCCACACGCAGCCTGTTTACACTAAGCACCTAATGCTTCCAGGCAAGATGGGTTAGCCCAAGCCTGCACTAAGAGAGGCTGGCGGGGTTCGGGCTTTGAGGCTGCGGGAACAACCGCTGACGCCCCAGCCGTCCCCTCCCTGCAATCCCGGTCCACCTCGTCCGCACACCCTGGGCCTCCCGGAGCTCCCGCCAGGTGCACTGGGGCCTGTGACTGCTACACAGGGTCGGGTCCCGGCCTCCCATCCCTCACCGGTGGAAGGTGAGCTGCTTCCTGCGGCTGCTGTAGCGGTTGCAGCATTGCCGGGCCGCGCACGACTTCGGCATCCCGGAGATGAGCCCGCTGCCCCTAACAAAGATGGCAGTACGCGGCCCCAGGGGCGGAGCTTGAGGGGCGGGGTCTGCAGGGCTCAGAGGGCTGGGACCTGGCTTGCTCTGCTCCCCGCCTCCAAGAGTTTAAGCCCTATTAACCTTGGAAACCTGTAACAGAGGTGTCAACCCTCAGCTAATATTTTAAAGGTCCCTGAGGTGCTTGTAGGCAGTAGAAGTTGGATCTTTTTAAAAACAGGTGGAGACTGGCTAGCCTGGAACCCATCACATTCCCCTATCAGCCTCCCAGATAAAGGGGGTACCCACGGGAGGTACCCTCTTGGCCATTTCGGGGACAGAAGTCTAGCACTGCAAACTCACCCCTTCTCAGATCCGCCTCTCTCTGCTTACCAAATGCTGGGCTTAAAGGCCTATCACCATGTTGGGACAAGAAAGTTCCAATCCCAAACTTGCAAAGGCTGTGGCTTTGAAGCACAGGTAAATCTGGGGATGGGCACACCACCTTTGGTGGAGACAGAGTGACTGAGGAACAAGCCTTTTTTTTTCCCTTTTCCAAAATAGGGTTTCTCTGTGTAGCTTTGGAGCCTTTTGTGGAACTTGCTCTGTAGACCAGGCTGGCGTCAAACTCAAGATATCCCCCTGCCTCTGCCTAGTGCTCAAGCCTGTCAGTAAGCTACACTGGGTCTAGGAGTTAACTGGGGAAGCAGACCAGGAATCGCCGTCCTTTTCATTGTGCTAAATGCCAAAAACAAGTCAGTTTTGCCAGAGTCACCACCCGGATAAGTGACTGGGAAGACGCAGTGTCCTTCAGCACAGGATAACTCAGGAGACACCAACCTCAAAGTAGCAATATCTTTATTTACAAAATATACAGTTTCACAGAAACAGCTTGCTTTATACACATAAACTTTATAATTACACAGAACCATGTAAACGATGTTGTGTCTGGCCTGGCCAAAGCCAATGGGAGGGGTCTACTTTGGGGGTGACATCTTTCCCTCCCCTCACATCACTAGCATCAACCAGGAGCCCCTAGAAGGGTCATGCCCCGTTTGCATAAAGAAGCTGATGACAGCTGCCCAGCTCAATCTACCCCCAAACCACCCATAGGGACAACTCCCCTTAAAAACACAAAGCAAGCAAACAAATTGAGATGAGTGTCACTGTATCCCAGAGCCATCAAATCTCTGGACACAAACAACAATGGCCTTCCACACCAAACCACAACAAAACCACGTATTCTTAAATGCACTTTAAAAAAAAAAAAAAAAACACCTACTGGAACTTTGGTTCTTCTCAGGGTGAGGATACTGGACAAGTACTGTCATGGGGCAGGTCTTTGGCAAATTCCTCTTAACTTGTCCTGGGTATTTACTCCATTCAGAGCCAGACAATAGCCGGGGGACAAGACTTTCTGGAACAGCTCCTTCACTATAGCAGAGTTCTCCCTAGAGATCTACGCGACCAACTGAGCTTCAGCAATGAGTATGTCTCTGTACTTTAATATGAGCAATAGGACTTTAAAAACAAACAAAAAACTAAGACAATTCCATAAACTGGACAAGCGTGAAAGACACTGAGACCCACCCCTTTCCCTCCCCCCAAGAAGGGCTCTGATTAGCCTCGTTACAGTCTGAGCTCCTTTGGTGTTTAAGATGAAAGCCTGGTGACCCTGCAAAGGTGTTACACAGGGGGAAGAAATGGGACCTACTTGGGTACTCTTCCCTGTCTCATGTCTAACAAGAAACAATACTTAATATACCCACTGCTTTGCCAAACACTGCTGAGAACAAGCATCAGAAGTGCTGAAGAACGAGGACCCCCTGAGAGCCACAGCACTCCCTCTTCGTTCCAGCCCTAAGACCACCAGTGTCCAGGTGTGGGGCAGCCCTCACCCAGACCAGGGCTCTGGGTCACACCTTTCCAACTCCACACACTGTTGCAAGCTGATGTTTCAGCACTAATCCAAACCTGTGCCTTGCCCCAGGAACCCAGCAGGCCAGCCTGTGTGCAGTAAGGGCAGTCCCTGCAGGATGCCCTTGGATTCTTTCTAACCATCATCTAAACCAACAGCACATAGGTCCTGAGGACAGCATCATCTGGGGGCTGCTACTGGAGCAGATGAAGAACAGAGAAACCAAGTGCTTCCACAGAGGGTGGTGCAGGGCACCCTGGGGCACGGACCACCGACAGCATGTAGGAAGACACTGGCCAACACTTTGGACTGTATTGTGCAAAAAAATGGTTTTTTTACATCATGCAAAACAAGAACTGAGTTATGAACACAGGACAACCTCCACCCACAACCCCGCTCTGTGGATAAGTGGGTACATACTGTCCCTTCAACAAACAGTGAAAACCAAAGACTCACTGCTCACCCACCACCAAGGGCTCCTCTTAGGGACACCAGATCTCTAAGGAAGCAACTCCCTAGCCCAGTAAGTACAACTAAGGCAGGGACAATGAGATCACAAAGGGGCAGACAACTTGGACGGCTGCTGTATAGACACTTGTGATAATAGACCAACACTGGAGAATAAACACAGGCCAGGGGAACAGAACAACTCCACTCCCAGGCACAAAGGAGACAGGACTGACAGCTAGAATGGCTCCCAACTGTGGGAACTGGCTAACGATCCTGTGTGCCCGCACTCAGCTCGAGTAGACCTGGTGCTCAGTCTGTCTCCGGTACCGAGAACACAGCTGGAGCAGCAGCTTTGGCCACCATTTTATCTGCTCACTGGCTATGTACAGTTTTATCTGGACAGCTAGTCCTTTGCTTAGGCACCTGAGTGGCAGGGTCTGCCCGCACCAGAGCCGAGAGTTCTGTGCTCAACTAAGGGAGGCCACAGAGCCCAGGCCCTTCCAGTCCCGCCTATCTCCTGGCCAGCTCCAAATCAGTCCAGAAACAGCTTCCGGGAGCCCATTCGGGAACGATTGGAACGTCGGATATCGAACTTGGAGTCCCGGCACTTTTGGCAGACAAACACTTCCGGAACATTGGACTTGCGGATCTTCGCACAGGACAGGTGGATCCAGGTGTGGCACTCGTTACACTCTATCATGGGGCGACCAGCAAAGGGCTTCATGCAGAAACAGGTGACAAGATCCCAGGAATCGTCATCTGGAGGGAAATGAACAGTTGACAAGTGAGAACCCCCTGAGGCCCACCATCTTGCCTGGGAGCCGCACATCCAGCACATGGTGGCCAGAGTGTGGCCACACTCACACCAGCTGCACTAGCTGAGCTGGTGTCTCTCTGAAGGCAGTTACTTCATCCCAAACAGTGCTGAGAGCGGGGGGGGGGGGGGGGGGGGGGGGGGGGGGGGGGGGGGGGGGGTTGCGTCATTTTCACACTCAGGCTTGGACAGAAATCTTGGGCTGTACCCAGGAGCTAACAACTACCTATCTGCCCTTCTACACTTCCTCCCTGATCCCACCCCAGGGAAAGCACTCACCTGAGTCTACCATGATGTCCTCATCGTTGCCAGTGCTGTCTTCATCCCGGAACACCACCTGCTTCCCCTGCCGGACAATAGTCCGTTTCCCTTCAGTTTTTATTTCTTTAACCTGATCAGGTGACACAGCAGCACAAGAGCCACTTGATGGAGTGTCCGAGTCCCAGCCTGAGCAGGGGTCAGCAGAAGCCTGGGGAATATCCTGTATGGTGGGACTGCTGGGGGTCTCTACGTATGGGTCTGCAGCTTCCAGCTTCAGCAAACCCCCTCTGTACCCCTCCTTCACAGGAATGTCGCTGTCCCTCCGCTTCCTCTTCTTCTTCTTCTTCAGCTTGTCTGTCTTCTTCCTGTCCAGCAGGAAGTCACTGGGCTTTGCCCTCTGCAGGAGGGAAGGCTGCAGGTGGCTGAAGCAGCGGTCCGACACCGGCAAGGGCACAGAAGAGGTGATGTCAGAGAAGCCCGTGTCCCAGCCATCACTGTCGATGGTGCCCGCAGTGCTATTGGCGGGACTGGGGCTGCTCCTCAAGGGGAGCTCCTGAAACAGAGCAACAGGGCATGGTTGGTCATCTAAGCAGCCTCCAGGGCTAGGAGCCTCCAAGCAGGTCAGTCCTTCTACACTGAGCAAGCACGACTTGGAACCTGGGCTCAAACCAGCATCAAACTTATATGACCTCATTAGTATTAACGCGCCAGCAGACCAGGACGGCACACCTTCCCTCACTGAGATGTTCCTGCCCAGAGCCAGGACAAAGCTCACAGTCAAGGCTAAGGTACAATTCGGGACTGGAGTGGCAGAGTGCTTGCCTAGCATGCAAGGAAGGGGCCCTGAGTTCTTCCCGCCCTCCAAGATCCTACAGAAACCGCTACTACAATCGCCTTCTCTCAGCTTCAGTCCCCCTGGAGAAGGAAGAGTACACCTCCATTTGTTCTCCCAACAGTCCCAAACTCAGATATCTGCCTGCCTCTGCCTCCTGAATGCTGGGTTAAAGGCATGCCCCATTCCTGGCTCACAACAGGTATTTTTCAATTAAGTGACTTAAGTTAGTTTCAAATTTTTGACCTTCTTTAAAAGCCAAACAAAATAACAGCTGAGCATAGCAGCACAAGCCTTTAAGGGAAGTGGTTCAAGGCCAGCTTGATCTAAAGAGTGAATTCCAGGACAGCTAGGGCTACACAGAAAAACCCTGTCTTGAAAAACCAAAAATAAGTAATAAGTAAATGGAAATCTATTTTTTTTTTTTTTTTTTGGTTTTTCGAGACAGGGTTTCTCTGTGGCTTTGGAGTCTGTCCTGGAACTAGCTCGGTAGACCAGGCTGGTCTCGAACTTGCAGAGATCCGCCTGCCTCTGCCTCCCAAGTGCTGGGATTAAAGGCATGCGCCACCATCGCCCAGCGGAAATCTA